CCTCTCTCTCTCCTCTCTCTCTCCTCTCTCTCTCTCTCGCTCTCTCTCGCTCTCTCTCTCTCCCTCCCTCTCTCTCCCTCTCTCTCCCTCTCTCTCCTCTCTCTCGCTCTCGCTCTCTCCCTCTCCCTCTCTCTCCTCTCCCTCGCTCTCGATCTCTCTCTCTCTCTCTCTCTCCCTTTCTCTCCCTCCCTCTCTCCCTCCCCCTCTCCCTCTTTCTCTTTATTTTCCATTGTGGGAGTGCTGGGCATGGACAACATAATGAAAAGAGGGTAGTACGAGGGAGTGGGAGTGGTGCTTCGAACATCATGCTGGTTATGATCTGTATGTAGTGCTTGACTGATCGCGTACACAAAAGTCTTGAGAAAGATCGCCCGTCATCTGGGCCACCCCGCCACACGACAATGCAGGGTCAAACCAGGCAGGCAGCGGTTGCAGCCTTTGAACATGACTTGCGGTTTCAAAGAGAAAAAAACGACTGGCTTGAGGGGAAGGTCACCTTGCAAAGGGTCACTGCGATTGATTCTCCTTTCAGTGGGTCGGAGCGAGTGTGATGATATACATATAGTATATATAAATATATATATATATGTGTGTGAAACCTTTTTTAGGCCCTCGCAGTCTTTTCACTAGGCTTTGAAACCCATGTTGCCCAGAAAATGCTTAATTGCATGCTCCACTTGCAAGGAATGGGATACTCAGCCGAGCAGGATTGTGCCTATGGGAACTGTGTGGGAATGCCTGGTGGCTTTCAGATGCATCAACATCCGGCATTTAAGTATTTGGGCATCTCTAAAGCTAAGGGATGCCCAAAACCTGTATAATCCGACTCACCAGCTTTCATCTGCAGCATATTTGTACTGTTCACATTTATACAGTATAACAAACTACTTACATCGTATATAAAAATGCACACTTACATACTTGTCAATTGCCGGCGGGAGCCCTTGAACTGACAATGCAAAGGACCATGTGTCGGTGCTGTTTCGCGTGGCATTTGCAACCCATCAATCAGCACATGTCTGCGTGTGGTTACAGGGGTTGGGGCACCTGAGTAGATCACTTCACTGCTCATTGTTTTGTTATTTTTTCACGGAGTGTTCAGTAGAATTGCAGTAATGACATATTAATATACTCGCTCTAGATTCGCTCTAGTATATATATATATGTAGCAACCTGCCCGAATCATTTGTTTCAAGGCCTTGCATGTGTCCAAACAATTCCAACTACATGACTGCTGATCTTTCATACGCTGCTCAGCTATATATGTATATATATATACAAGAAAAAGACGATGCAATCATGCTCAAAACTCATGATATGGAGGATGGCTTCGATATGTTTCAATGCCTGATACACATCCACATCCAGAACTTGACAAACATCCTACTCATTCTCTCCGGAACCCATCAAAATCATCAAACGGACTGGGGGGGCCCGAGCGAACGGTTCGTGCTCCATGGACTTTGGCTTCTTTGATGGAGTTCTTGGACTGGCCGTTGAGGCAGCGGATGCACCCCACTGGACGACACGGCGGGACGGCGTCTCGGTTCCGACGACGTTCGAGGGATGCACCAGCCCGGACCGAGACCGTTTGGGGACAGATTTGTCATCCAAGAGGAACCCCAGAGTTAGTTTGTCCTCAAAAGAGCATTGAACAATACCAAGTTTAAACACCTTCATGGGCATGAATGGTGGAAACACCCAGAAAGACCCGCCGTTTGGAACAACCAACATTGGCGACGATTTGACAAATACATGCGGGAAGTCTAATGCTGGTCTCTGGGACTCCGGGTATGCTAAATCAAACCTTTGAAGGCTACGTACTATCCGTTGCTGTATGCCGCATGCCTTGACTCAAATGCTTATAACATCTTATAACCAGGAAGCATGATGGCCATGAGCTAGCGTTGGATAACGATACATTCACACCCCAACAACGAAGACACTTTATTCAGTAAGCAAAATTGCAGCAAACCATGAGTAAAATGCATGAGGGGCATCTGTCGCTGTTTTGGAAATGGATTTTCCACCCCATGGGTTTTGTCCTCTACCTTTGTTCACAAAAATGCTCGCATCTGTCAGCACATTTGCGGCAAGAAGTTGAACCAGTCGTTCAATCGCCAATCCAACGCTGGGAGTGTCAGAAGCATTGCAACCTGGTGCTGTGTGATGGGGATGGGGCGTTTCTGAAGTGTCACAGTTCAACGTGCCAGCCGAAGAACCAAAGTAGCTCTGGCGTCTTCTAAAGTTTAGGTCTGCTGCTGTGACTTTGAGTATTGCTACTTTGTGTCTTTGCTGCTTGTGTTGTGCAAGTTCCCTTTTGTAAGTCGTGAAGGATTTTGTGATTCGGAATGCCTCTTGAACTGTCTCGTGCATCTCTCAATTCCATGCCTAAGTGGGTTCCCCAGATCGCTTCAGTAAGCTTCCCCAGCTGATCCCAGCCAGATTTTAACAGGATAGGATCGGCCGCATGTGTGAGCTGCCAGCAGCTGCAAACTGTTGATTTGTCCCAAACGTGTGTCATTGAAATTTTGGGCTCAACTTTTGCATACTGCTCACAGCTGCAGCAACTCAGCCTTCCCCGAAATTTACGAATCATCACCCTGGTCGGACAAAACACATCGACAGCAACCCCCGGTCAAACAGGAATCAACATCATCAACATCTCCTGCTGTACAAAAAAGACTTAATGCGGAATCACATAGGAATGGCTGTATCGCACCTTCAGAAAAACAATCGACTCTCCTGGTAAGAAGGAAACTCTAGCACTGGACTCGCCATAATTAGGATTCCACCCTCACAGCCCGATAGATCGTGGGCATATATATCCATTTAGGCAGCTATACACTTCTTAGT